CTGACTATAGGTGCAGTTCAAGTAGGTCTGTACATTTTTTTTTCCCTAGTGGTCAGCATTTTCCCTGGTGGTCAGCATTATTCTTTTTATTTTGTAGTGGTCAGTCTCACAAATCTTCATTGCTTTGGGGCTTTAGGAAAAACATGGAAGCATATGAGATGGGTACTCTCTGACGTCTTCAGAGCCTCCAACCAGCAAGCATCTGTTGGACAGTACAGGTGATGAGCATGTATTCTATGAATGGGATCAATATTTCTCTAACAGACATCTCTCTCTTATTTTACACAGATGGAATGGACAGTAAAATTAAATATTTTCATCTGTGTTTACTTAGAAATCAGAGGTGAAAATTAAGCACACATTAACTCTGTAAGGGGTTTGAAATCAGAGAGAGGGGATGGCATTTGTGGCTAAGACCCTGACAAGCTGCTGTAGGTGCTTGATATCCCATTCTCATTCCTTTTTAAAGACAGCTAGGTGTGGCGATCACTCAGGCTCACTTGAATTTTTCTGCCTTCATCTTCTGTTGTCACCATGTTTCTTTGGTAGCAACAGTCAGGACAGCTTTCCACTAGCTGGCGGAGGTTTGTTGGATGATGCCTTCAGGTATCTGGACAAGCTGTTCTGAGCCACCTTCATTCATGGAAGATTGCTCCTCTGCACAATTGATAGAGCCTAATCCTAACTTCTTTAAAAATACAGGCAGTTGGTTTTCAACTTCATCCTTCATCTTCAGGAGCACACCTGTGTTGACCCTGAGCCTTTAAAGAAAAAAGATCCACCATACCCTTTGGTCATCCTTGATCATCTCACTGCTATGTTTTTTTAAAACAGCCATGCAAGCCATGCGTACTGCATGTCATCACTGGGACTCCCTTTTTCCTCTGGAATTTGCCCAGAATTCTCCTGTTCTGAAGTTCTTGATTCTTGAGGTTGGAGGCTGAGTGCACTGTTCCACTTTTTTTTTAATATCCACTGGTATAATTTAGTAAATCTGTCATTTATACTCAGTATAACAGAGTCATTTAACTGCAGGAGCTCACCAATACAATTAACCCTGTTCCTTCAAAATGAGGAGCTGATTGTCTTGGCATTCACAGGAGCATGGAGCACAGTTAGAGTGCTGTGGTTTCTGGCCCTCCCGGTGCAGTATCGCAGTCAATTGATTATTTTGTTAATTTGTTCTGCATCAGTATCCTGCTGGTTTATTATCATCCAAGTGACTTTATGCACCATGCATAAGTACAAGTATATTAAAAATCAATACTTGAACCTTTTTTCCTTGTAAGTGTCCTATCATCCATGGACTACCTTCTTTGATCCACGGCCTTCATTCTGATAATGACACATCTAGTAACTTTTGCATGATTTAGTCACGTGCTAATAAAATATATGCTCAGATTTTGCTCACTGCTTAAGCTTGTATCATAATGAAGAATGAATAAATTAATTAGGAATGAAATAAACACAAGCTGCTATTGCTGACAAATAAGCCTAAATCTGAGACAGTAAAAAACAGGCTAGTTTTGTAAGGAAATCTTGTTCCTTCGCTAATTTCTAATAAGCATCATGTTTCACAGGGTCAAATCCTTTAGAGATGCTATTATCAAAAGTCCATCTTAGAAACACTGGTTTTCCTGTTTCAGTTAGAGAAATAAGTATTTGAAAGCTGACACGGGGGTGCATTGTGGATCCGACTGAGGGCTGGATTCCAGGTCTGATCATGGCAGAAGTACACAGGATTATGGCTGTTATCAGAATGTTCTTCAGTGGTTTTCCACCATTCCACATGCAAAGATGTGATCCTAAGCTCTCTCTTTTATGTATTGTTAGAACATATGACCTGCATCATGATATTTAATGCATTTATGTTACCGATATCACAGGAAGGACTGCTCTTCTTTAGGAAGAAACCTTTAAGAGAGAAGCAAAATCAGATGTGGTCCCTCTCTAGACCTAGTCTCTCTAGACTAGGGATGAAAGCACAAGTTTTCAGAAGCGGAAAAACGCTGTTTTTCTAATCGAGATACCCTGTTGACAAGAGGACAAGGATTCGCTCAAATCAGCTATCTGCTAAATGGGAGGTTCTCCACTGAAATCATTGGAATTGCATCATCTCTTGCCAGGATAAATTTGCTTGATTGGGGATTTTTTCTGGAATGTATGGATGTTACCAGATCTTGGGATCACATTTTCATCAGGCAAGTTCTTGCTTCTCATGCAGGGTAACATCCTTACACAAGGCGACTGATGAGGCAGTCTGTAGCTCTGGAGAGTGGGAAGGTACCAGGGCTTTACCCAAAGCTTTCAACCCATTTCGTGACAGGAAAGCCTGATCTTTCCTGGATGCAATTGTGTGAGTTACCACCATTACTGAATTTAGGTGGAAAAACCTTTCTGTAGTGTAAGAGGCCTCGGGCTTTCTGAGACTGTTACTCCTTAGATGGTAATATCCTGTACACCTTAGCTCCATGTGAAACATTCAGAAAACAGCCTGTAGAGGGGTTTTAGTTCAGAGAACATATGTATATTTCATATATATTTCCTCATCTCAGGGAATTATAATGTAATTTAATATAATACAAGAAACAAATTATATTTTATTGTAAAGATGTAACAAATCTGACGAATGAGATGATCCTGAAGAGTGAAACCAGCCTGTGCTGTTTCTGCAAATTGCTCCCTACTTCCTCCAGCTTGTCTTAAAGAAAAGCCATGGCTCCAAAGCCTTGCTTTTTAATTAGAAGAATTCCTTTTGTGCTACATCCTAATTCAGTGCCTTAATGCAGCAGGTCCTGCAGAGCCAGCAAGTTTGCGTGGGAGCACAAACGCATGAAATCTTTTTCTCTGGCATCCCTCTAAGTGAGGGTTGGCTTCTGTTCGTAATTATTTGATGTGGTGACAGCTCGGGGTTTGCAATTGCAAGCACAGAGGCAGGGGTGGTAACGGAGGAAGGCATAATGACAGGTGATTGCTCTGTTGTCTCCATGGCATCACTGAGCCTTATCTTAGAGGTATCAAACAGTGTGTTTATACCTTTCTTTATACAGATACCTGGCACCACTAAGTACACCTCATGTGGTTCCTGCTTAATCACTGTCCTCTTTTCAGCTTATTTTGTTTTAGTTTTTCTTTTCAGTCTTCTCCGCTTTTAATGAACGTGAACAAGTAATGGAAACACATAGAAATGAAAGCTACCAATTTAGTATTTTATCATTTTGTACCTTTAGCTAAGGAGTTGGAATTCACACAAGTAGATTTTTAGAAACATTGATACAGCCTTTTAGGGCAGATCAGTGATTTCCAGTAGCCTCTGTCAGAGTGGGTCAGGTACACGGTGCCTCAGCCTGCTCCCTATGCATTGGTATTAGGCTTTCAGGGTTATAATGAAGCAATGTAGCTGGGAGGAAAACAGCTTTTAGCTCCAATCAGTTAGATCCCAGTTTCATCTCAGCCTTAGGCACCTCACTGAGTGCTGTCTTTTGAGGCTCCCGCTTTAATTAACGGAGACAGAAGGACACCTCCAAGAGTGAATCAGGTGATATAAGGGCTGATTTAGCCTTTGGATGAATTTCTCCTCTGCTGATTTTGACACTACGTGAGTTACTGTGACACAGCAGGGTAACTCCTGTATACATCTTCCTAATCAGAAATGCCAAAGCCACGCATGTAGAAATGGCTCCATAAATTAGGAGATTTCTTTAATAACTGTGTTTTGTTGTTGTTGTTGCTTTTTTTCTTTCTTCTTCTTCTTCTTCTTCTTCTTTTTTTTTTTTTTTTTTAAATTAAATGCCTAAGGAAATGTTAGTTTGCTGCCTTCTTCCTGCTTCTCAAGGTGTTCCCAATTAATGATTTTCAGCTTTTCTGTTTGATCGAGAGGGATGGATTTTTTTATGATGTTGATGATGGTTTTTTAATGAGATGCTGGGATTATCATGCTGTCTTGGTTCTAGGTGTTAGGCCAAGCAGAGTATGCCAGACTTGAAAGCATGTCTGCAAGGTGTGTTAACACATACTGGAACAATTACAACCAATTAGTGGTGTCCTTTTGGAGAGTCCTTTTATGTGGGTACAAACAAGATGATTATGGTCTGACATTTGTAGTTTCTGCCTCCAAAGGTATTTGTGTGTCTTAGTTTTCTTGTTTTCTGTAGTGCTTAGTTATGTTTACACGTGACTTTGCAGTTCATAAAAACTAGGATCTCTAAAAAACTGTGGCTGCTTCTGTTTCATAACCAGTATTCTCATGTCTTATACTTTCGCTGGTCTGGTCCACTTAGAGGCATTTTCTCATTTAGTTTTCTTGCCAATGTATTTATTTATCACTTATTTATTGCAAAGATAACCCCTGAAAGTGAATGGATCAGTAAGATGTGTTTTTGAGAACCTCAGAAGTACAATGGGAACACACAGCCCGAGGTACTTTTCTCCCAACAAATCTCTTGCAGGAAAGCCAACAGAGGTATACTCTAAAAAAGGCATACTCTGAAAATACATGGATTAAAATCTGAAAAAGTAAAAGACATCATGGCTCAGACATGCATCCTCATTTTATCAATTGCCTGCAGCTTGGAACAGTCATGTTCCAAGTTAAATATTCCATTAGTTAAATAATTTTGTCATCTAATAATGGCAGTGGATTTGATTCTGATGGTTCAGAGCATGGCAAGAAGATCCACGACACCAATGATGTCTGAATAGGGACTATTTCTTTTGCAGATTCTTGGGTATCTGAAATGTGATCAATCTTTAGCTTTCCTCCAGGTAGGACACTTCTGGGTGTTTCTCTTCTACCTAGCCATCTTCTTCCCAAGAATTTTATTAGCCCTTGAGCTCTCTGCCTCTTTGCAAATTTCAGCTGAAATCAGCCACGGGTTTGAATGAATAACACACACACAAATAATGTGATTTCATAAGCCTTCTCTTTCCTGAAAACAATGCTAAAAAAATCTTTGTAGTTAAGAACATTGAGCTAACGATGTAAAAATTAACCCTTCCAGGTAAAGAAAGCTGTGCAACAGGAAGGCTTCAGCAGAAGGAAGAGAGGATATAGAGATATCAATGACATTGACATCAACATGAATGATCCTTTATTTACAAAGCAATGGTATCTGGTAAGTTTGAAAGAAAATCACAGAAATCGTAACTAAATAACTGGCGTTCAAGTTTTTCCATGCCATTGCAATGTCTTGCAAGCATTCTTTCCAGTTCTCTCACAAGAACTTGGGAATGGATCCAAGACACTGGCCTATTGTATTTAACTGTACCTCTTTTATGCTGGGAAGACCCAGCAAACTTCAAGAGCTAAATTTCATTTCAGTCAACAGAAAGATCCTTAGAAGGATCTTTCTAGAACGAGAACTGTATTGGTGTCCTGTGGGCATTCCTGGTGTGCTGATGTGACCCCTAAAACTGCATATGAATCATGTCTTTGAGCTGTTGCCAGGTAAAGCATTGTTATAGAATTATAACAAAAAGTTCTAGTGTAGTAACTAGGAAAAGTTGAGGTTTTACTTTTCTTGTAGAAATTTGAATACTGTTTGATTGACTTTCTTCTGTCAAAAGCAGAGCAGCTGAAAATTGATGAATTCGGGCTTGAGGCCAATGTCAAAACAAATTAATGTTTTACTAAATTGTTGCATTTTTAATGTGTCCCATTTTACAGGGAGAAGTTTTTAGTCTTAAAATAAAACATATTTTTTTACATAAAAGTACCTAAGAAAGATATTTTTCTCTTAAAAATGTGATAAAGCAACTTTGCTGTTTTAACAGTGCAACCTATTTACAGTAAAATACTTTGTAAATGTAATATCATCGTGTTCACTTAAGATGGCTCTTTTTGCTTATGAAAAGTGTTTGTTCTCTTTCTTTTTAATGCATATCCAATGTTTTATGAATCCATCAAAGATGTCTGTTAATTTTTTCTAAGATGAGAGTTGCCAGATGAATGAAGACATGTTAGCATGGATGGGGACTTCATCCTTGATAGAATAATAAACTAAAGTGTGAATTAATTCACTTCTTTGTGGTACTTCAGTCAATAAAAATGCTGCAGTGATAAAAATAACCATACTTTTATCAAGCTGTGCATGTAGTTTTTAGGTTATAAAGAGCACTAAAATGCACTTTGATACAATTTGTCTGACACAAAGTTGAAGTTTTGCATTTGGAAGAGCAGCATCTGTATTATGTTTACCATGGAACTTGAGAAATCTGTGAATGAGACTGGTAAACACAACTAGTGCCTGAAGACAGAGGGGATTGCCCTTACCCCATGTACAATCACATCCACGTACAATATTGAACAGGACCCTTGAAGTTCATCTGCTGAACCTTCCTGCTCAAAGCAGGCCTAATTAGTTTATCAAAGAAGTCATTTCTGGCACTAAACCCAGTGGTTTAGTGACTTCCAGTAGCTCCCTGCTTTCAAGAAAAAAAAAAAAAGCATTACCTGCTCATAAAAAATTCCTCTGTAAAACTACTGGAGTAACTTTTGCTCACTTGACCAGCTGCCCTGACATGCTTGAATAGAAAAATCCTTCTTTGGGTTGAAAAGATTCAGGGTTTAACCAAATCTAATAAGCCCCAAAGAAGTGAATTTACTATCACCACCTTTTTTTTTTCTTTCTTTTTTTAATCCCTGCATTATTGTAGTAGATAGGATTACATAGAGCTGTGCACCCCAAAGCAAATTGGACATATTTTCCATACCAAAGAAACATGCAAAGGTATAATGAAAAAATCAATGGCTGTGGTAGCATGTCTATCAAGTAAAAAAAGATATTCTTCTTTTTCACTGATGTATTAGATTAACACTGGTCAAGCAGATGGGACTCCTGGACTTGACCTTAATGTAGCTGAAGCATGGGAGCTGGGATACACGGGGAAAGGAGTTACCATAGGAATTATGGATGATGGTAAGTGAAGACTGCATGCTAATTTAATATTTTAAAGTAGCTTTTCCCATGCAATCAAAGTCAAAAAAAGATTAAAAAGTTATAATGGATTGCTTATAGTGCTGAGACTTCCAACCTTCAGGGAAAATATGTTACAAAGCCTTCAATAGGGATACAGAGGCATGGATATCCAAAGCACTAAAAGTAGCTTGCTGTTATCAAATAGAGGTCTTCCAGGGCACACTATAACAACCATTAAGCCAAAGGAAAGACTCCCCTTGACTTCTGTAGGCACTGACTGGAGGACATAATTGCCTTGCAAAAAGTACTTAAGACAACATTTTCTGGGTTACATTATTCTCAAAGTCATACTTGACAGCTGAAATAATTAAACACTTTCATGCTGAATGTCAATAAAGACCTGCGTATTAAATACATTACTAATTTGAGGCTAAGTTCAGGGAAGATTAAGATAAAAGATACAGTTGAAGTCACAGCTGTTTTACTCATGGATTCCTTGCTGAAGTACAGGAATTCTGTGTAGTCTTTCATCACTTCTCTTTGGGCTAAATTTTGAAAGTTTTGTTTTTATGGTAACTGAATAATATTAAAAATAAATAAAAAGGCTGGATCCACCTGTGTTTGCTAGGGTCAGCTGAGTTCTGTCCTCATTCATTTCTGTTGCTCATCTGCTCACTTCCAAGACAAGGCTTTTGTGGAAGTATGAAAGTAGATTCACACATATGTATATTGATGTTATGAGAAATCACATTTTTACTGATCCCACAGAGGCAGGACTTTGCTTTCAGAATGGCAAGGCATGACTACAATGGGGATCACAACAAACTAAGATTCATGTCAAATAAAGCTATTGAGAGGTGTTAGCCCATCAGATATAGCTTTTAGAGAAGGGAGTATTTTGACTATTTTGACTTGTATTCTCTTCCACTAAATATGGAAGAGAGCACCTCGATAAAATGATTCTTCATTGAGACTTCTGTTGCCCATCCCCATCTCCCGTTTGGATCAGGAAGGCCCTCCACGGGTGCAAGGGTCCCTTCTTGCAAATCTAATGCTAAGGACCCTATGTAATGGGAGGTAATATTTTCATCAGAACAATCGCAGTAACATGCCATTCTCTTTGCAGATAAAATTGACCACGTAATAATGTGTTGGTTGGAAAAACAGGGCAGAGTGATGTTCAAAACGTAACATGAGATTAGCAGCCTTTTCTTTGTACATTTTAACTGGACATGTAATAAGTCAGCTTATCCCATCTGAGTGTAGATCTGCTGCTTCTATTATTCCATCTATGGGGATATGTATATTTGCCATCTTTGGAAAGACTTAATGCAGTAGCACGGGCATATTCCACACCACTGCCCTGTTATGGGCTTTAGCATACCACCAAAGTGCAGAGCCACTGTTTCAATTCATGCTGTGTAAAATATCAGGGTTTCTATTTGTGTATGTGCTCTTGATAGCTTTGGATATGGTATTTTTGTTTTCTTTTCTGATTTGCTTAGAGATCCAGGGGACCTGAGAGTTCTTCTGAAAGAGTTTTTCAGTGCTTGTAGTGCTAGATCCAAATCAGTTAAGTCCATGAGCGCTTAGTGAATATTTGACTTGTTTTGAATTTCTGGTTTGTGTCAGCTTTTTTAAACCATTTATATGAATGCTCACAAACTAAATTTTTAAGTATCATGATATTGCACCTCATGAGGCCAACACCTCAGACTGCAACAGATATTTGCTAAAACAGTCTAATCCAACATGTTTCCTATCATTCACATAGTCAAACGTGTTTGCCTGAGTGATCTCCCCAGGTCTAGTTTAGGTAATTTTCTGTCTACTTAGTTTATCATTTTCAGTGTTTAAATTACTCCTTTTTTATATTCCATACTGATCCAGTGCTTGCTGACGTTCATAGTTTTGGTATGCTTTGACGCCAACAGCACTTTGTATAAAGATAAATTGTTATTCAAACTAGTCTTACTAAACAAATATGATCTAGTTTACAAAACAGGCCAATAAATTTTGTCACTGAGCACCTCTTCTCAACTGGCACCTGGATTTTGACATAAATGATTTAAAACTCCTAGCTGGGACTGCATCAGAAATGATGTCGCAATTTTTAAGTCAACATATAAAAATTGGAATCGCACTTCAGTCAATTGCGTTATTTGCCTTGATTGTTTTCCTGTGGTTGCAAAGGACTCTTGTTTTGTTATGTGATCATTAGAAAATATTTTTCGAAACTGTTAACCTTTGGTTTGTGATCTGTCATTATTTTATTGCAGGAATTGATTATCTGCATCCTGATCTTGCCTCTAATTATGTAAGTACATGCTGACCTTTTCTGTAAAATGTGGATTTTCTTATTGTTATGATCCCTCTTTGCTACAAAATTTTAAACAATGAGTAAAATAGCAGTACATCTGAACTACTGATCTTATAGATGATACATTCCATGTCGAAATAAGCAGAATAAAAATGGGACTGCCTTTGCAAGGAATGAAAAGGTGACAAGGCTTTTTGTGCAGGAATGACAGTGCTGCCTCACATTAAATAAGCCGCAGTTTGCAGTATTGGATTTAGGGCAGAAATGAGTAACCTGGGAATTGGCTCTAAATCCTGCTGTTAAGATGCAGAATGCACCTGTCACTTGGAGGGCCACAGAGCTGTGTGCTGTGGCAAGGCTGCTATTGTTCACCATGGCTCTAGTATTTATTAGCTTTTGAAACCTCCAGGAACAGCTTAATTTCTTTATAACAGGTGATTTGGTCCAGTGCTCCAAAGCACATGCAGGACAGATCGTGTATTATCAGCACATATTTTGTCCATTGATTGTTGCTCGAACCACCTCAGGCTTACCTTCAGACTTGAGGCTTTTTATCTTTCTTAATTCGTCCTGGCTCTCCCCAACCCCTCACTGACACTAGCTCCTGTCTCCAGGTGTCTACAAGGGCTCCCAGCAACCTCAGACTGTGGGCTGCCCTTGTTATTTCAGGCAGTTCTCTGGCAGTGATGGTCAAGAAGCTGTGGCTCTTTGCCCAGAGGCTTGCAGTGTTTCTGCTTTAGGTCTTGCTATTTTCCTGCAGTCAGTGGCTTTCTCACTAGAAACCAAGGCTTCCTCAGCCGAACAGCATGGTTTGGTTTTTAATTGCAATTAAATTAAAAATAAATAAATAAATGGAAATTTTGATAAAAACATGAGCCATCCAGAAAGAACAGCTCAAAATGAGAAAAATTAAGACAATTATTTTATGTATTAGTTGTTGCAATTTGGAAAATAATAAAATCTACACAGACTGAAAACTCATGTAGTAAACATCAAAGCACCTTTGGTGGAGGTTATACAGATACAGGAGGTGTTGACTTTGGACAAGAAATTTGAGAAAAAGCTTTACTGCAGAGGTGAAGTGCACTCTGTATGAACTGGCTTACTAACTTGATAGCAGGCAATTAAAACCTGTGCCCTAACTGCAAAATCCTCACCCAAGAGAAATAACTCAGTAGAATGCTTCCATAAATTGATACTAATAAAGAAGTTATTAAAAAATAGCCTTTGTCTTTGCAGGAATTGTTCTCTGCATGTGTGTTTTTAGCTTATGATCTAGAGCCAGGGTGTGCTTTTTACTCACTCACTTGCTTTTACAGCAGCAGGCATGCACAAAGCATGAGAGAATATTCTGTTCCTAAAAACCATGTTTCAAATAAACAAGCTAAAGCTGCATTATCGTATCTGATCTAATGTCAAATGGGAACATTTTTGTTGTTAGCAGTGAACCCAGGATCATGCCCAGAAAGTACAAATAGATTTCTTAGTATTATGGTGTTTTTCTCGTTTATTTCTAAGAATATTTTTCTGTTTGACAGATAAATACTTGTCAGGCTTAGCAGAAATGTATTTGGCTTAGAGTGGCAATGCTGAATATTTTAGAAATTAATGAAAATAACATAGAGAATGTAATGGCAATGCACAGACATGATGCTAGAAGTCAGAAAGCAGTGGAGCTGTACACAGACTAAGAACTATTGGGCTGAAAATCAGAGAAGAAAAGCTGGCTGGGATTAGGGAAAACAAATCTGTGATGTTAAACGTGAAAGACCTGTGCAGAGAATGGTCTTGAGATGAGAATCTGAAAAAGTCTGTGGGGGAGTGGCTTTGACCCAGCAAAGTGTGATCCTGTAGTGGAGCAATGATGAGGCTGTTGGGGGATAAAAGAAGGCCAATGCAAATTGCGTGGCTGGACCTGGTTTGGGCAGGGCAGATCAACAGCCAGACACAGGGGAGAAAAGACTGAGGAACAAGTGGTTGGTGAGGCAAATAATCCTTTAAGGAGCAGCAGAAACCCCATCTGAAAGATCACAGTCTTAAAGGAGATATAAGTCAAATGTTTTTAATGGAGAAACACAGAAGTATGAGGTTAATATACCAGAGGACATGGCAAGGAAATGTACTAATAAGTTAGTACATTATGGGCAAGGTAAACAGTAAAAAGGTAAACTTGGTAATCAGTAAAGCTGCTGGCACCTCCGCACACAGAGCCAGCTGCCGTGGCTGTGTCTGAGAGGTGGGCAAGGCTGTTCCTGCTCCTGCTGCAAAAATCTGCCTTCTCCTCCCTCACCGAAGCATAGCACAGTGGTTGCAGGGCTTGGTTCATCCATGCTTTGCCTCTCCTTCTCTCCCTGCAGGGCTACGCAGGCCTCTGAGTCCTAAGAGAGCCTGCTCTGATAGCATCTACTGAGTCTCAGAGGCCACAGGGGCCTTTTTTCCCAGTAGGCGGTAATTTGGGCATGAACTAAAGACAAGAACTTAAATTCAGCTGAAGGAAAGATCAGCTGAGACCAAGAAATGCAATGAAGTTGGTCTCTTAGGAATGAGTTGTTAACTCTCTTCAGCATAACAATTGCAGTCACCCTCGCATGGTTCCCGTACCACAAGTTTGGCATTTGCTGGCATTTGCACTTTGGGGCAGCTTTCTTTTAAGTTGCACTGTTTATTTTTAGGAAATTAAAAGCCTACAGCTAATGTGTCTCTGGTGTGTACATGCCTACATGCTGTGGCAATATCTGTTCATCTTCGTGGAAAACTGGGAACAATTAGGAAGTCTCTCAAAGGTGGTGTTTTCAGCACGTTAGCATTTTTCAAATATAAACACTTGGCTTTGGTTACTTGGTTTAATTTGGCTTTTATGTTTTTGACTTGCTGGTTTTCTGCTTGAACTGTTTAATGGAAGGTTAGCACTTAGACACAATGGGGTCAGGGAAGAGAAAGTGCTTTCTAAAGACAAAAATCATTTTGTATTTTTTCTTAAACATTTACGAAATATGACAGGACATCCAGGTGCCCCAAAGAAGGGCAATGAAGCTGGTGAAGCTTCTAGAGAACAAGTCTGATGAGGATTGGCTGAGGGAACTGGGGTTGTTTAGCCTGGAGAAAAGAAGGCACAGAAGAGACCTTACACAATCTACAGTTACCTTAAAAGAGGCTATAGCAAGGTAGGGATCTGTCTCCTCTGTGCACCAGGTGATAAGACGAGGGGCAATGGCCTTGATTTGTACCAGGGGAAGTTTAGGTTGGATATTATGAAAACTTTCTTCACTGAAAGGGTTGGGAAGTATTGGAACCTGTCCAGGGAAGTGGTTGAGTCACCATCCCTGGAGGTCTTAAAAAAACGTAGATGTAGATGTAGAGCTTAGTGATGTGGTTTAATGGTGGACTTGGCAGTGCTAGGTTAAAGGCTGGACTAGATGGAGTTAGAGGTCTTTCCCAACCTAAATGATTCTTTAATTCTATATACTTAAAAAGGAGCATGCCTGTTCATGGTCTGGATGGACTGCGCTCCCAGCACCCCTCCAGCACGCTGCAGCACAGCTACTTGCTGTTTGGGAATTAGGGGGTTATTGCAAAGCTGGAATTTTCCGTTCTGCACTGTGAATGCAGAGAGACTCATTGTCAAAGGATCGATATTTTCTTCCAAGCCTTGGAAACCCTGCAGAGGTTCAGCCTTCAGGAAATTATTTTTTCCCACAAAGAGAACCCTTCATTATGAACTGATAATTAAAAAGCTGAAGCCTAATGTACTCCATGCTTTTCTTTCAACTCAGACTGTGCATATGAAGCCAGCAATTTTCAGGACTGGCTTCTCTAAGATACAGCATCTGAGTGAGAAAGAAAAGTGAAGTAACAAGGGCTGCATATTGGATGCCTCTAATAAAAGAGGAGAACAGCAGTTGCTGGGGTGTAGATGACAAGCTTAAGTACATTGTTTTAAAGCAAAACCTAAGGGAGCAAATGGCGATTTTTGCCACAAACATAAATATAAGCTGATCTCTCCCTCACATCAGTTTGTATTCTGGAACTCTTATACTTGGCCCCGTGTCTGCTGGTGAAGGTCAGTGTAGCTGCATTATCCCACTTGGAGCAGCAGGGAGCTGATCATCTCAGGCACGTGGATGCATCCCTGATTAGCAGCAGTGAAGAAAATCAGAATCCCACCAAGACACTCAAGCCAGGAGTTAAAAAATTGGTGGTTTCAGTGTCTGAACTCTGCCTGAAGCTAAAAGCTTGGTTAAAAAAAAGAAAAAAAAAAAAAAAACGGGAGGGAGAGAACATAGCAAACATTTGCTGTGGGAAAGTGGAGGTGACTATGTGAATAGAAAACTTTTTTTAAAAAGAAAGTGTTGCTACTTGTAAAATGTGAATCATGTAGCAGTTCTTAGTGATAGTGATATGTAGTAATATAGGATATTCAGATAAGAAAAACAAAATTGAAATCCGTGGAATTATAGAGTTGTAAAATGTGTAAAAACATGAAGTCATCCCAGCAATGTTTTCATTGCTGTCCCTCCCATAACTTTCTGTCTTTTCTTTGTAACATGTGTCTTTCTGGCACACCTTATGTTCCATCTACCAAGGTCCTTACCAGCTGTCACTCAATCTGCACACAGGAAGGGATTTCCTGAGCAAAACAGGCCTCGTGCAAGGAATGAGAGAAGACTTTCTGGAGTTACCCTGGGGTTAAATGATGTTTTCTGTCATCTAACACATCTTGTATTGAAATGGGAAGACCAGGTGGACTTACCTGTCTTCTCTCTCCACTTGATTACAGCTCCAAAGACAAAACAATCTCCCTCGCAACTTTTGGTTACTTGTCACCAGCTAATATGATAACAGCTCCTCCTGCCCTGCTGGGAGACACACAGAAGCATATTTTTGGGATAATTATCTTATCATAGAAGCAGTGAAGCAGGGAAATGTTCTACTTCTGTTATGACCTGCAATTTCCATTGTTTGCTAGAGGAACAGAAGCATCATTGAATAATTTTTAC